ATCACAAACAAACTTGACCGATCCACCATAGACGTAGCCTTTCTTGACAATCTGCCTTCCATTTGCGGGTTTGCCAGGATCCCCACACTCAACAGCTATAATAATTGCAAGGGAGCTAAATTTTTAACCTTAATCATTTACAAAAAAACAAGTATGGGAAATGAAGATTACATGATATTAGGAAAACGTTTTGACTAAAACTGGGGTAGATGCACTCGAGTTAACAATTCTTTTAACGGTTAAAATTTGAGCGCCTATTTATTTTGCGGCTATTACAAAAATTTGTAACGTAATTTTCAAAGTTGAACAACAACAACAACAACATCAACAACTCTAAGCTTCAAAATCATCACAAGCTTTTGTTTTGGAAAACAAGAAGACCGAGAACAGCTCGCGTTCTAACCTGCTTTTTCCCTGTATGATAACACGTGTTGCGCGTCTCTTAAAAGCCCCTGTAAATTTTCCAGCCTACCTAAAGTCATTTTCTTGAATTAAAACCTGAGTCCCTAAATTAACCAGTCTATTATTTGTTTCTTCAGCTGATAGCTTTTTTTACACCTCTTTTAAAACTATTATAACTCGAACTTTACGGGAAATTCCTAAACATAAAGCACTCCGATTTCCCGGATAGGTCACTACTGAGACTTTTCAGAAACGCAGGTCCCTACACTAGACAGTTTATAAAACAAGCTCAAGTTTTTAAATAAGCATAAGAGAAAGCTGTTTGAGAAACAATGATCGTTACCTTTGCACTTGGGAATATCAGTGTTCCATCTTCCGTCCTCACAAGCCAGTTGAGCCTCGCCTTCAAGTGTGTACCCAAGGTTACAAAAGTATCGAACTGTTTTTCCGTGAGTGTAGTTATTGCCGATTTTAAGGCCATGATTTATATCACCAGGCGATCGACAGTCAGCTTTAACAAGAGAAAAAAGACTGTAAGGCAACATTTTTTATGACACAAATTCATATATAATTCAAATATATTGCTTGTCTCAATTGTTTCGTTACTGCAGTACGAGTTCTCTAAATAAAATTGTTCGAACAATAATTAACTAGATCACGGATTGATTAAAAGCCCTAATTTCCTACCCCTATACTACAGAAATTAAATGTCTTCGACCATCATCAAATCGAACTTTACCTTCAAATTTTCAGTAGTATTTAAAAAAAAAATAGTGAGACTAGTGTCCTTAATTCTCCTTAATCGAGTCTCTCCGCACACCCATGAAACTAACCTAAGCAACTTGGAACAGAGGAACTCCAACTCCTATTAGCTTGACAGTATATGACATCAGTCCCCACTAGAGTGTAATTCTTGTCACAAACAAACTTGACTGATCCACCATAGACGTAGCCTTTCTTGACAATCTGCTCTCCATTTGTCGGTTTGCCAGGATCACCGCACTCAACAGCTATCGTATTAATTAAAGTGTGGTTAATTTTTTAGCTTTTGTCGTTTACATATAATAAAGCAATACAAGAAATGAAGATTGCAGGGTATCAAGTAAAGCTTTAGCCTGCAACTTGAATAAACGCTCCCGAGCTAATTCTTCTATTACCAGTTCAAATTTGCGGGCTATATAATTCATTTTGCAGCCATTACCAAAATTTGCCACGTCATTTAAAAAGTTGCAAAGTTGCAAATATCATTAAATTCCAAAATCAACACAAGCTTTTATTTTGGAAATGGAAAACAAGAATGAACGCTTACCTTTACACTCGGGAGTGACAGTGTTCCATCTTCCATCTACACAAGTCAGTTCAGCCTCGCCTTCAAGTGTGTACCCAAGGTTACAAGAGTATCGAACTGTTTTTCCGTGTGTGTAGTTATTACCGATTTTAAGACCATGATATAAATCACCAGGTGAGCGACAGTTAGCTTAATCAAAGAAGAAAAAATTCAAGCCTTTAGCAACAGAAAAGAAGGAAGGGAGTGAAAGAAATTAGTGGATATTTCTTTAGTTCATAAGAAACTAATTGACTTAATTATTTCGATTTTGCTTTTACCTGATTCAGAAATAGCATAAAATAATTTAAACTACATGTATGACAACAAATTTGACAAAATTTTCTTAAAATGATCAAAGAACATTTTAAAATAATCGCGACGTGTACGTCAATTTTGACGTTACCATGGTAACCAAGGTTTTAACAGCCTTATTTTACAATATTTGCCTTTTTTACTACATAAGGCATAGGTCGCACTTGGGAAAAGTTTTCATCGTTGCCGGCTAAAAAACCACGAAAATTCGAAACCGCAACCGGAAAAGAAAACTTTTAGTCAAATCGAGGAGGGTCGCACTAGTATTTACTAGTGGGCGTTAATTGTCGTTGTTTTGACACATTGAGAACTAAAGTAGGCCAGATACCAGAGAACACTATCTCTTCGTAGTCCGATCATTTGGCGTAGGATCGTTTTCCTCCTATCCCAGTTTCAGGAGGATGGGAGAAATGTAGAAAATAAAGTGCTTGGCTGCAAAGACTACATTTAGCTCGGAGAATAGGGACTTTAAGATTCGCTACGGCAAGGGGCTACTACGGCTACATAAGGTCAAAATCACTTCCGGTGACGTCACCACGCGAGTTGCAGTACGGCTTTCCCCCCGTAGCCTCGTTTTCTGCTGCGTCAAAGTGCCTTCTTTGCCGTACTCTTCACTACGTGAGTATTAACTGTCATTTCTTTGCCATTTTAAAGTTTATTTCGCTTTTCTGAGAAGCCCACTCCAAAGACTAAGTTCTTAGTCATACTTAAATATTCCTTAGGTATTATTGCTTCGTTATTTAAGCGAAAACTCAAAGGATTTGGATACGTTATAATCACGGCTGCAGACAAGAAAACCTCGTAAGAGAGCTTATTTAAGCTTATAGAAGTTTTAGTTCCAATAAGTGATTGTCAAGACTTTAATTTCACGAGTACCTATTAAAAAAATATTTTTATCTTTTGGCTTATCTGCCAGGGATGTTCTCAGTAACAACTTGTTTAGCTTTGAGAATAAAATTTTTATAATTTACCGGCGCTAGAGCGAGCGAACGCTCATTTATTACACGTATTAAAGTTGTGTGACATTTATATTTGTTCAATCCCGACAGATTTAAACTAAATGTTCAATCCCGTCGCAATCGTTCCTTGGTAGCATCTTATAACATCAGGGATTTGTAAAGCCCGTGCAAGCCTTGGGATGTCAGCTTTCTTGAAACGAAATTCTGTCAGACATTCATCTTCGTTGAAATTTTGAAGGTCGAACTCGGGATACAAATGATTTAGCAGATAAAGGTTTTCTGAGCTATACGAATTATATAACAACAGAAATTCAGCATCATTTATAAAATTCGTACCATAAGAAAGCACAGCAAGGTCTGTTATTTCTTTAAACGAAACCATTGAAGATATATAAATCAACCAAAACCTAGACGGGAAAACTAGTCCTGTTGTCCGAGTTTGTTTACATTTTGTGTCGGTTGTGACGTTGCCGTACCGAGCGTAACTTAACCACTTGAGTTTTGGCGGGAGACCGCGTAGTCGCCCCAACCCTTCCCGGTTACAACAGCCGTATTAGAGCTATGCCGTAGCGAATCTTAAAGTCGCTAATAACAAACCTGTAACGGTACTTGCCTGGGTAGACTATAATTGGCTTGCCTGTAGAGAGTTCCCGTAAAAACGTTGAAATAGCGAAGGATTACAAGCTTATGAATTGCTCGCCCGTAGAAAATTTTCGCAAAAACGTTAAAATGGCAAAAAGTAGTGGTAGCCTTGTCCGTCCACAACGAAAACGCGAAGGTCAGAAAATTTCAACGATTGATTCAAATTGATCGTGTTTCGAATTGGTCACGTTTCGCTAACACGTGCTGACACTTACCGCCGTGATTCCTATTGTTTAGCTCGAGTTTTCCAAAATCTGCCTGCCCCGCCCAAGCAATACGGCGTCTTTGATGTTTTTTGCGATTTTCAAAGTTTTTTCAACTTGAAAACGTGGGGTCGCACTTGGCAATGTGTCCCAATGACAGATTTTTACCGCAAGGTAAACAAATTCTTCCAGAAATTTGCCAAGTGCGACCCATGCCTAACATGATTGGATCAATTATTTATTTCAAGGTTTATTTATTGAATATTGTATCGCGATAAATTTAGAATTATTTTATGTACTCATCATAACTTTTAATTCAATTTAGACTTTTTGATGACTAAATTCGCCATTTGCACACCTCCCATAATGTTTTTTGTTTGCCCTCAAAAATTTGTACAAGCATTGTCTGCTGGAAAACTGCAATACCGAGAAGAAATAACAAACAAAGGGTGTAGACAACTATAGGGGGCAAACGAGGTGTCTTATGGGAGATGCGCAAATGGCCAATTCAAGAACTTGAATATAACATGACTTAATGGTAGAAGTTGGATTCAAGTTTCAACGGTGATCAACAGTGTTAAATACCAGCAGTTTTTTTTTTCTTTTTCTTTTTTACTTTTAATTTTACATTTACATCAGTATTTTTACTTTTATTTTATTTTATTTTTTGCTTTTTAAATATGCTTTTTTAATACACAGGTCGTATTTAATATCACGGTTTCCTCGATTTACACGGGTTTTTAAACAAAGTCATCATGACGCCACTGCTATTGTTAAAGACTATCCGTGTGTTTGTTGGCCCTGAGGTAGGGCATTTGACTGATCTTGTTCTCCCAGGGGAGGGGATATTTGAATCTTTCTTCGCCCGACGTGGAGATATTTGACTGCCGATTCGGACGAAAAAGATTGAGACCGAACATATGTTTCCCGCTTCCACGCTTCACGCATGCGCCGTACGGTTTGAAAAGATCAGGAAGTCATGGACGCCAATGAGAACAAGCGAAGGCTGAGTGGATTTCACTGTTTTGTCTTCAAATTTCGTTTTTTTAGCGTATTTTTGATCAACTGAAACTCTTAACATCAAAGGTATCAAAGTAAACGGAGGTAAAGAGAAACCAAGTCGATTTTTACAAGTGCAGTTGATTAGTGTATGGCTCATTCGCTACAATCACTGTAAACTTATAAAACTGACTTTCTTTGTACCCTTTACTAAGAACAGTATATTTAAACTTACAAAATGTGTACTTTCTCTAAGTTTTATGTATTCTACGCAGTGTAACACGGGTTATGGTTAAAACGTATAATTGCAGCTCTGAAACAGGAACATGTATCTTTGGTGATGCAGCAACGTTTATAAAAGATTGCACAGTTTTATTTGGAGATATTTTTATTGTGCCTTTCTTGGGTTCTGCCTTGGGATTGAAAGCAATGTGCAGCTGGGGTGGGGAAATTTGGTTGCATTTGACTGGAATAATTTGCCCGTGGGTAGGGAATTTGATAGCAAATTTTTGAAAAAAGTCAAATCCCACCCCATGCCCTGCCTTCCCCCCGCCGGCATTAGATTGATAGGTGCATAGTGTCTTTTATTTTCCCTTACCCACGGCACTTACCTAAGCAACGTGGAACAGGGGAACTCCAACTCCTATTAGCTTGACAATATATAACATCAGTCCCCACTAGAGTGTAATTCTTGTCACAAACAAACTTGACTGATTTACCATAGACGTAGCCTTTCTCGACAATCTGCCTTCCATTGGCGGGTTTGCCAGGATCATCACACTCAACAGCTATAATAAGCATAAGGGAGCTACATTTTTAACCTTATTCCTTTACAAATCAACAAGTATGGGAACAACAACAACAACAGCTACTTTAAGGTCCAAAATTATGACAAGCTTTTGTTGTGTAAAAAAAGAAGACCGCAAACAGCTCGCGTGGTCACGCGTACCTTTTCCCTGTACGATAGGACGTTTTGCGCGTTTCTTAAAAGTCGACCCTGTAATTGTTTCCAACCTGAAGCACTTTCCTTAAATCAAAATCTGAGTCCCCCAAACTAACCAGCCTATTATTTGTTTTTTAACTGATAGCGTTTTTTTACGTCTTTTTTACAACTATTAGAACCTCGATCTTTAAAGTAAATTCCTAAACATATTAAAGCTCTCCGATTTCCCGGAAAGGCCACTAGCGAGACTTTCCAGAAAGTCAGGGCGTCCCTGGACTAGACAGTTTATAAAACAACCTCAAGTTTCTAAATAAACAAAAGCTATTTGGAAAGTAAACAACAATGTTCTTTACCTTTGCACTTGGGGATATCAGTGTTCCATCGTCCGTCCTCGCAAGTCAGTTGGGCCTCGCCTTCAAGTGTGTACCCAAGGTTACAAAAGTATCGAACTGTTTTTCCGTGGGTGTAGTTATTTCCGATTTTAAGGCCATGATTTAAATCTCCAGGTGATCGACAGTTAGCTACATTAAAAACACAAGAAACTAACTTAACAAAAGGAAATAAAATGAAGTAAGGTAACAAGGAAAATTGTTTG